AAGGGGGCCCCGGCCCCGGGCTGCGGCTCCGGCCGCGCGGGGTGTGAGGAGTTGCGCGTGAAGTCGGCCGCAGCCGTCCGGGAATGCAGCCCGGGAGAGCCCCGGGGGAGCCGGGCGCCTGGGCGGGTCTTCGGGGAGAGGGGTCCCTTCCTGCGCCTGGGAGGTGGGGGGCCGGGCCCTTGTATGTAGGAGGGCAAGGACCGGGGAGGGGGCGGCCTAGCGCCGAACCCCCCGATGGCCTGCACCCTCCAATAGGGTGCAGCTCCCCATGAGCTGCACCCCTGACGGGCTGCACCCCTGATGGGCGTGCCCATTTCCCCGAGACCAGGCCGACAGATGTCCTGCTTCTCTGTTTTCCAAAGGAGGCATCTCAGAATGCTTCTGGTTTTTGGAATGCAGCTGGCAGGTCCTTCCTCAGTTTCTCCCGTGCTCCTTCATCCTGCCTTTCCCACACTCCGGGCCCCCCAGGTAGTCTCTGCTGGGTCCAGGGCGCTCACAGCCCAATGAGTGGGTGAGCAGTGGTTGCTGACTGCCGTGCAGGGAGGGGTGGACAGTCAAGGTGTCACAGCAGGAGCTCAGGTGCATAGAGGTAGAAATACGCTTCTAATTACACACGGGATCAAGGTTGTAAAAGCTTACAAATAAGGTGGAGATGCAGAAATCCAGTGACCCACCCAGCCCAGGGTAGACCCAGAGGGGTAAACTGAGACCAGTGAATGGGCTTCTGGGTGGAGCGTGTGGCGGGCATTTGGGAGGGTGTGGGAGCAGGCCTTCTAAAGTTTGTGGCTGGTTTGGGGTGATTGAGGGGAGAGAGACGTTTTCAGGGAGGACAGGGGTGCAGGAGGAGGGGAGACATGCCGAGTCTGTCGCTTGCATGGGAGCTGCTGCTGGCCCCCGGGAAGGTGGGCAGGGGGCTAGAGCCATGCTCAGAGCCTGTGCCTGTGGGTCTTCCAGGGATCTCCAGGTGTTTGTTGGGTGTCCGCCCAGCCACGCTTCTGCTAGCCCCGATTGGGGGGCACGTCATTTTTTAGAAGTTTTATTGGTTGAAAACGGGCTCCTGAGCCTGGAGACACAGAACAGGAAGGAAAGGGACGTCTAAGGGAATGCGAGAATGAGAAATTCCGCGGGAACGCAGACCACTCACCCAGGGCGTCACGGACTCGAACTCCGGACTCTCCGTTGTCATTTTCTGGACAACTGTCATCGCGTCTCGTATTCTTAGGCACATGGCTGTGTGAGGAAAGAGTGAGACGGGAGCCGGAGATCTGGGTTCTGGCCCTGCCTGGGCTCTTGTCCCCCTACCTCCTGCTTCCCCATGGAAGGCTCTGAAGCCCTTGGGTCCCCCTGAAGAAGAAGGTACTACACAGACCCGTGTGGATAAGGCCCTTCTGTCTCCCTGACTTGGGGGCTGAGGGCCAGCTTCAGCGGAGCCACATCTGTGTCAGTGGGTGGTGGTGTTCAGGGCAGCCGGGAACCTGCCAGCGTGCCGTCGAGAGCTGAGGCGGGCCAGGGGATCCCTGCGGGGGTGGGGGACGCACTCAGGTCCACCTCTGAGCCGCAGCTCCTTCACCCTGAAATGGGTGTAGGGTGCCTTTGTCCTGAACAGTTGTGGGGGACACGTGAGCTGTGCTCGTGAAGCCCTTCAGCGGTGGCTGGCCGGTTAGCCCTGGACAGACGTCCCCTGTAGCTGCGCTGGCTCCTGCCTGGTCTCCACCGCCATGTGTGGCGGCTCTCCCCCGTTTGCTGCACCGGCCCGGTTCATCTCCCCCCCGTCAGCACCCCCTCGGTCTGCCGTCATATTCAGGGAGGGGTCGTGGGGGTCTCTGAGGGGGGCTCACAGATGGAGGGGCTGACTCTGGCCCCAGAGAGAGCAGTGCTGACCCTCTGCGTGCCCCATCCTCAGCCCATTGGGTGCTGTGGGGCTCGACAGTCCACAGCCCTGACGTCAGGTCCTTGAGAACACACAGGCCCGGGGTGTGGCTGAGGGGTGGCATGTGGTTTTCTGTGGCAAAGACTACCTTTGCGGGGTGGGCTGGGGGCCTCGCAGCGGGTGACGTCTGATCAGGTAGACTGGCCTGGAGCCTGGGCTTAGCAGGGCCTGGCTGGTGTCCGGCTGGTGAGCGACCTGGGGAAGCAGTGGGTGTTGGGAAGGTCATGCCGGCACCCGTGGGCGTCAGGGCCGGGAAGGCCAGTGCGGGCTGCTGTCCCAGCAGGGGGCGGAAGTTGGATCGGGGCGGGTCGGCCCTCGGAGGAGGCTTCACTGAGCAGCTGGACCCGTGGGCAGAGGAGATCGAGCTGGGAGGGAGAGGTGGGCCGAGGCCCGTGGGTGGCACGGAGACCCCGAGGTCAGGCTGCCGGCACAGGCTTCCTTTCTTCAGAGTGTCTTTTTACTTTTGGTTCCCAGGACGGAGAACCTGCTGAGCCCGGCACCAGCAGTGAGGGTGCGCAGACGGGGGGTGTGTGCAGACGGCAGGGTGCAGATGGGGGGTGCAGATGGGGTTGTGTGTAGACGGGGGGGGGTTGCAGACGTGGGATACAGACGTGGGTATACAGACACAGGGCATCCAGATGCGGGAAATGCAGACATGGGGTGCACAAACATGGAGTGCAGACTTGGGGCACACAGACGTGGGGCACAGACACAGTGTAAAGACATGGCACGTGTAGACGTGGGGTGCACATGGGGGCACGCAGACATGCCGTGTGCAGACATGGAGTGTACAGATGTGGGGTGCAGGTGTGGGGCATGCAGATGAGGGGTGTGCAGATGTGGGGTACACAGACATGAAGTGCATAGATGGGCATGCAGATGTGGGACAGACACAGGGTGAAGACATGGGGTGCACAGATGTAGGGCACTAAAATGTGGGGTGCAGACGTGAAGTCTGTTCCTGTCGTGACATTATTTACCACACGCTGCTGTCTGCGTCCTTCCGGAGGTGCTGGGTCCAGCTCTCGTGCCAGAGGCTGGGGACCTGTCTGGCCTGGTCAGGAGGGAGGAGACAGCTGTGCAGGCCTGGGGTGGCTTTGGGGGTCAGGCACTGAGCCCTCCTGCCTGGCAGTGTGACACGTCTCTGGGGCTGCAGAGGCGAACAGTGCGGGTGGGGGCTAGGCGCCAGAGCAGGCCAGCAAGCAGGGGCCGCGAACGGAGTAAGCGCTGTGCAGGGCCTGCAAGGGGACAGGGTCTCTGGGGTGGGTCAGCAGGGGAGCCCAGGCCCAGGGGACAGTGAGAGCAAAGGCCCTTCGGCAGCTGGCGGCAGAGGCTGTGTGCAGGAGGGGCGCCCGGGACTGACAGCTGGGCGCTGGGAGCCCCGGGGGGGTGGGCGGCGGGGTCGAGGGCACACAGCAGGTGTCTGGGGGTGGGGGGTTGGGGAGCTCAGGCAGAAGGGACTTTCCCGCCTGTGTGGTGTCCTCTGGGCTGGAGACCCCAGCAGTGGACTGTGGCTGAGGGGGTTCCAGACTCAGGGGATCTCCCTCCAGGAAGAGGAGGTCACGAGTGAGCCTGCTGCTCCTGAGGGGTGGGGCCGGGCTCCCCGTGCCTCCAGGGAGCTGCTTCACCTCCTTTCCTGTGGTTCTGGCCCTGAGCCCCCAGGCTGCGCTCACCTGTGCAGACCCTGCGGGGGAGACGCCCCAAGTGCACCTGTGCTCTCCCTTGCCCCTCTATTGCTGGCTCTGGGTTCTCTGGGTCCCCTGGCCAAGGATGGGTGCTCTTGTGCTGAAAGCCCCACCAGGGTCCCCCCTGCCAGCACTCGGCCTCCCTGCTCTGGGACGAGGCCAGGAGGCTCGGGTCTGGCCTGGCAGCTGCCTCCCTCACCCTGTGTCTGTGTGTCCTGAGCCTGAGAGGGAACCCCGGCCAGCTGACCAGTGAGAGTCTGAGCTTAAAAATAGAACCCCCGCCACCAGGGCTGTGGACGCCCCCTCGGTTGCCGGCAGCTGCCCCCCCCCCCCACGCCCTGGTTTGATTTCGTCTCCAGGCTGCGTCCCAGGAGGACGTGCAGGCCCACCCATGGCAGCCAGGACACGGGAACGGTCCCTCTGGGCTGACTGCCCCTCCTGTGGACCCCTTCCCGCCTCTGAGAGGCAGCCTGGTGGCCCCTGGCTGCTGGCTGCCCAAAGGACCCCCAGCTGCCCGGGATGGTCAGGTGCCTCACAACACCAGCCCCGCCTGCACTTTGGGGCCCCCTGGTGGGCAGAAGGGCCACTGCAGTTTGACCACAGCTTACAGTGGGTAGGCCGATGCACCCGTGTTCCCCTACACCCTGACACCCCTACTGAGGGTGACACCCCACCCCCAACTCTCCATCCCGAGTCCTGGGCTTCATTTTAGGGCCAAGGGGACCGGGCAGCGGAGTGCCAGGATCAGACGCCCCAGCGATGACCAGGTGGGTCTTTGTGGGTTGTGTGGCCTCTGCCCCACGGGAGGCTGGGCTGTGGGCACCCCCCCCTGCACCCCCCCGCCCCTTCCTGACACTGCAGGGCTCCCTCAGCTCCCCGGTCTCCAGAGTCGTCTACAACGGCAAGAGGAACAGCAGCCCCCGGTCTCCAGCCAACAGCAGCGAGATCTTCACCCCGGCCCACGAAGAGAATGTGCGCTTTATCTACGAAGGTGGGCGCCACCCTGCCCTCCCCGCCCAGGGCAGGGAGCTGTCCAGGCCTCCTGCTGTGGTTGCGAGGGCGGGTTCCAGTCAGCGGGGAGACTGGTGTGCTGGGTGGGGTGTGTGTGCACACCCGGAGGGAGTGTGGGGAAGGAGGCTGCAGGGATGGGGGTGCCTGGGTGCGGCTGGCACTGCAGGATAGGGGTGGGGTCACACCTCTGACCGCACCCTGTCTGTAGCCCAGAGAGGGACAGGCCCGAGGGGAGGCAGGCGGGGAGGTCAGGAGGTGAGGTGCTCCCACTGGGGCCCCTGAGGGGAGAGGCCAGGGGCACTGGTGACCATGTCCACAGGGTGGGAAGCGGGATGCAGGCACAAGGGGGACTTGCGTAGCGGGCAGCCCTGGATTCGGGCCACGCTGACCGCTGACCCTGTCCTCCCGCCTGCCGCCTGCAGCCTGGCAGGGCGTGGAGCGAGACCTGCGGAGTCAGCTGTCGGGCAGCGAGCGGGGCCTGGTGGAGGAGTACGTGGAGAAGGCCCCCAACCCCAGCCTGAAGAGTGAGTGTGGACGCTGGGCTTCCTGTGGCCCGGGGACAGCACTGGCAGGGCGGGTGGGCTCCTGGTGCTCCCAGAGGCAGGGGCTGGACAGGGACCTCTCCCCGCCTGTCACCCCCACCGTCTGCCCTCCCCCGACAGCCTTCAAACCCATCGACCTGAGCGATCTGCGACGCCGGAGCGCGCAGGATGCCAAGAAGTCCTAAGGCGCCGGCGCCCAGCTCTGAGCTCGGCCCAGCACCGACGGCCGCCTCTTCTCCTGCAGGCCAGCTCAGGGGTGCAGAGGGGCCGCACGCACAGCGAGCCCCAGGGGGCTCTGACTGATGGCCTGGGACGCCTGCCCCCCAAGCCCCCGCTCCCTCTTTGGTCTCCAGGTGCCCCATTTCTGGGGGGTCCGGGCCCTCAGCCCCTGCCCCACTGCCTGGCTGTGTGTTTGGAGCCTTCTGGAGGTCCTACCCCCTTCTCTTCCTGCCACTGCCCCTGCCCCTGGCCACCTACTTGCAGGTAGAGTCTTGCTCGGGCTGGTGGGACCCGGCCAGCTCGAGGCGGGACAGAGCAGCCCTGCCCACCCCACTGGGCCCCCGTGGACCTCCGCTGCTTCCCCAGACTGGACACTCGGGCAGCTTTGACCCCCGCGTCCTCGTCACATTGGCACTGGTCCTCTCGGGTGTCCCAGGCAACCAGGCCTGGCCTCCTGCTGTCTGAGGTCTGTGCCCCTGTGGACAGGGGTGCCAGGCTGCCCCGAGCTGGTGGTGGCCCCAGTCGGTCCTGGCTCTGGGGGATACCTAGAGGGTCCCCAGGGCACCTTCCTCCTGTGCTCTCGAAAGTGCGTGTTTTCGTGTCACCTGAGGGTCGGGGAATAAAGGCGGGCACTGGGACCAGCCTCCTGCGCTCTCTCAGCTGGCAGCCGTGGTGTGGTGGGCTCCCTCCCCGTCTGGCCACCCCTGCCCACATAAGGCCTCCACCTCCCAGGTAGGGGTCTGCAAAGCCGAAGTCAGGGTTGTGGGAGCCCAGAAATTCCCAGTCTGAGCCCCTGGGCTCTGCTGGGGGCTCAGGCCCCCAGGGTGGGGTGACGGTGGGCTGCTCTTCGCTGGTCACTGCCTTGTTCTCACCTTGGAGGCTGCAGGGCCCAGCCTCAGACACCAGGAGACCCTCAGACCCTGTGACCCTTGGCCTCCAAGGGCTGAGCAGCCGCAGATTGGACCTGCGCCAGGACCATGCCGCAGTCCAGACTAGACTCCGCCCGCTCCCAACACAGGAGCCAAACCAGATTTCAGGAACTCCCTTTCCCGGAAGAGTATTCTGAGCCCCGACTGCCCCAGGGCGTGGGCTGAGGACATCCAAAGGCCTCCCCGAAGGGGTGCCGGCCCCTGGGCCCCTGGACAGCATGCTCCCACACCCAAGGAGCCACTCCCTGTGTTAAAGGCCATCTTGATGTTACTCCAAGCCTGACTGGATCACCCTGCACCCCGACCTCCTCCTGTGGGGCTGGAAGGCGGCTGCAGCCCTCTGGACTTGCCTCCTGAGGCCATACTGGGTCCCAACTAGAGTCTGGCCCTGCCAAGTCTGCTACCTATCAGCCCCTGACTCCCCCATTCCAGGGGTGCCTGCGGCCACGGCCCCAGTGACCCAGGCCTATGCATCCCTTTACCTTAACACACGTGGGTGGGCCCACGGACACCACCTTCCTACCAAAACCTTCTCTGGCAACAAGTTTGGCTTTTCTGTGGGTGAGGTGGTGCTGGGGGCATCAGGGAACTGCGCTCAGATGGGCCTGGAGGCGGAGGCTGTCAGCCCAGACAGGGCACCCTTTGAGGATGGGGCATGGGGACAGGGATCGGCCAGTGCCCAGCGACAGGCTGACAGGGCCAAACCCCTTGATGCCCCCTGGACCCCAGCCCCACAGTGATCTGCCTACTCTTCTGCTTTGAGGGTGCCACCCCTTCCCCAGTGGGGGATGGACACCCCCAGCAGAGTGGAACCACCGGAGGAAGGGCCTCGGTGGTGGAGGGCTGTGCCCTGTGCTGTGGTGGGCCTAGCTGACATTTTAAGACCAACATCTTCAAACGATGCAGTAGACAGGATAGTGGGAGCTCTTGGTGGACCCATGCCACCTGGGCTGATCTTGTTTGTCCCCACCTCCGCCCTGTTAAAGCAAACTCCACCTGTGAATACCAGCTCACTGTGTTGGCCCCACACCTACTGCCAAAAGAAGCAAACCCACTGCCATCCAGTCAGCTCCAGGTCCTGGCGACACCACGTGTGTCAGAGTAAGACTGTCCCCGTGGGGGTTTCAGTGGTCGCGGCCTGGTGGAAGTACATCGCCAGGCTTTCCTGGGCGCCTCCGGCTGAACCTTTTGGTTAGTAGCCGAGTGCTTAACTGTTTGCACCACCCAGGGACTCCATCCACCTACTGCCATCAGCAGTCATTCCCTAATACCAGCCAGCACCTGGTCGATGTCCTCCTGAGTGTCTGAAACGGTATTTCCTAGGCACTGTCTTGGCTCAGGACGGCAACGCAGAGTCTCAGCATGTCTTGAGTCTCTAAATTGATCCCAGTCCCCCTCCACCCTTTCCCGGGCATTTGATGGTGGGTTTCCCCCATCTGAGAGCTGGCGGAGTCCTCGTGGTGTCGGTTCCGCAGGCTCCTCTGTCCCTGAATCTCTTGTAAACGGAGCTGAGAGAGAGGCTCGATTGAGTTCACTTGTGGAGACTTTCCATGGCTGTGGTGGAGAGAGGACTGCAGGGCTACCTGTCGGGCGGCTGCGGTGAACCGTGGGCAGGAGAAGCTGAGGGGGGATGAGGAGCTCAGCATGGCGTCCGGGCGGAGGGGCCGAGCGGGATTCTGGAGGGCCACGCGGCTGGATATATAGGTTGGGAGCAGTCTGAATATTGATGATTCTGATAAAGAAGGGGGGACCTGAGCGTGGGGATAGAAGGTGAAAGCAGAAAAGAGGATCAAGGTCAGAGAGAGCAGGTGAGCTGGGAGGACTTGGTGCTGAGGGCTGCAGAGGTGCCCGGGAGGTGAACCAGCGCAGAGAGTCAGGTGGCAGCCCCCAGCCTCTGTCTTCCCACCCTAAAGTCCCCCAAGTGTAGAGGTAACCACTTTCAACTCCTCAGCTGATTCTTTGGTTTTTATTTCTAAATTCCATGCATGAGTTTTTGCTTCTCGATTTCCTATCTTAACCATTGCTTCACCTCCCCTTGAAAGATGAAGGTTTCGTTCTTTGTCCCCTGATCATCACAGCACATATGCACTCTTCCAGCCCACCAGCCTCCCTAGACGCCCCCACCCCATAACTTTGGTTACATCAGTGTTTACCTTATGATGTCTTTGTTTGTATTCCAAGCTGAGCATTGTGGTGAATTGTGATTGCTTTTTCATTCCTGTCCAACTTCTTGTTTTCCTTGGAGTTATTAATTGCCTTCTTTTTTCATTTGCTTAGTCTTCTAGGTACTAGTCACTAAGTAAGTCCTGAACTCTCCACCAGGTCATCTAAATCTCCTTTCACATTTTCACTCACTTTCATCCCCTTGAGGGAGTCTCTCCTGGAGCCTGGGTGTCATCCCCACCCTCGAGCCCACTCTGCTTGGCATACGGTTGCCATTCTGGGGACACCCCTCGCCCCTCCTGGGGTTGGCCCCTTGTTTCCTGTAGTCTGTGCCCTTCTCCTGTCTCCACCCTCGTTTTAGTGGGAGGGAGACATGCAACACCTCTCCAGGACACTGGGTGTGCATATAACTACACCTGCCCCACCTGGCCCCCATGCAGGTGGAACTTGCCTTTCTCCACATTCATACACCCTGCCACCCTCCCTTTGTAGCGCACACACGCACTCCTGGGCAGCACCCATGCATTCTTGGGATGGAGATGAGAGGGGAAACAGAGATGGGGAGGGGGAGGGAGGACCTGGATGAAGGGTGGTGCTGGGTGGGCCTGGGGCAGGGCTGGGGGCCCCTCCCACAGCAACTAGGCTGAGTTAGAAAGTGGATCCTCCACCTGGACAGGCTGCCAAGCTGCCCAGCCAGGGCCAGTGTTCATTGGCTGAGAGTCCAGGCCCCCAGTGCTCCAAGCCCCGCTCCTCCGCCCTGACTCCACCGGCCTGCTCTGGTTCCCTTGGGTGAAGGAGGACAAGGGCAGGGGGGCTGGGGATGGGGAGGGTGTCAGGACGCCCCAGGTGAGCAGGCATGCTCTCCCCAGGCAGTCCCCAACCCCGAGCTCAGCTGGCGTGAAGGAGAGTGGTGCCCTCACTTGCCAACTTGGAGGAGGCTGTCTCGTGTCCTTGCTGCAGCCAGGCATTGAGGCTGGCAAGGCCCTCAGGCCTTCTGTTGGCACAGCTGCCACTGCCCCTGGGTCCCGAGAGGGTGCAGCTGATTGGCCCAGCTCCTGGTCCCAAGTCCCCTACCAGCCACAGCTCCTATGACCTGCCTCAGGCCCCCAGCCTCCCCTGACCCAGCGTCCTGCCCCTGCCCACCTGCGCGCACATCCCTCCCTACCCGCCTGCGGGGGGCGGTGGCGTGAGCCCCCCCAGGAGGGCCCAAGTGCCTGGAGGTGAGTAATTCTATTTACCTTTCCTGAGAGGCCTCCTGTCCTTTCATTTGCTCCAATTAGCCCCGCTCTGCCTGAGCAGCTCTGGCCCACGTGTCCCAGGCGGGCAGGCGGATGGGCACCCCTCCCCCAGTGCTCCTCAGAGCAGGGACAGCTGGCAGGCCGGTTGGGGCTGTGCCTTCTGCTTCTCCGGGCCCCCTGCCCTTTGACAGCGACCGCATGCACGCACCCCATGAGGCCTTGCAGCATGTACTGCGGGGGGCACTCCATCCAGCGGGTGACCATAGTCCCCGTCAACACTCCCCACTCCCAGACCTGCCTCCCCCCAGCTAGGGTGGTCCTGGGTGGCGTGTCTGAGGCCTGGTGTCAGAACCTACCTCAACGACACACACTGCCCCAGACAGCAACCTGAACCCTAGAGTGCTCCCAGACAATTGCGGCCCCCCACCCAGCCCACCGCCCGGTACGCACCAGCCCACCCTGCCCACTGAGCGGAGCATGCCCACCACACCATGCAGCTCTCTAGCTGTGTACCTGCCCTTTGGGTGGCGCCCAGCAGCTACAGGAATTGAGGGGCCGGGGGTCTCTGCTGAAGGACCACCCTGCGGCTGCGCAGAGGTTTTGGATAAAGTCTGCTGCCACTTCCATTTGGATCTGTGGCGACTTTAGGTCCATTTCTCCCTGCAGCTGTCTGCTGTGTGACCAGGAAACCGGGTTGCCGGGACGGTTAGACACCAGTAACCAGTTGCCCTCGCGTCAGCTCTGACTCAACGGCGACCCCAGGTGTGTCGGGGCGGAGCTGTGCTCCACAGGGTTTTCAGGGGCTGATCTTTCAAAAGTAGATCCCCAGGCCTGGCTTCCTAGGTGCCTCTGGGTGGACTCGAACCTCCAATCTTTCGGTTAACAGCTGAACGCATCAATAGTTTGCACCACCCAGGGGGACTAGAACTGAGGTTAGAGTCAGTGGCCCCCAGGCAGGGTGTCCCCTCCCTGTGCTGGATGCTGCCAGCGAAGGGGGTTCTGGAAGACAGCCTCTGGAAAGCTCAGTGTCCTTCCGTGGCTCGTAGGGTAAAGGTTGGATGGCCCGGACCTCCCTTGGCCATATTCCACCTTCATATCCCCTCTGCTGGCGATTCTGCCCCTTGGGGAGCTGGGGGACAAAGCTAATGGGGGAGCCATTGAATCTGGCCCATGGGGAGATGGAGCCCCAGTCCTGCCCTGGGTGGTGGTGGGGCAGACCAGGCCTGCTCAGGCAGGGACAAGAGAGGAGGGGCTGCTCTACTGGTCTCTGCTGGCTTCGGGACCTCCTCATCTGTAAAATGAGGTGACTGGAGGAGGGAACACCCAGGCACGCCTGTCCACGCTACTCCCTCTTGCCGGCCAAGGGCCCTGGCACGCATGGGTGCCCAGGTGTGCTGGGTGCATACACGGTACAACCCAAGCCCTTTACTGTTGGAGACACATCCGTGCACACAGGGACACGCCGACACCAGGGACATGTCGATGCGATTCACAGCACAGCTTCCTGCTCCCTTCCGCACCCCCATTCCCTGCCTCTGGGTTGGCGTGGCCACAGTGCAGGTGGAGGGTCTGCTGCTAGGGGGCCACTATCGGGGTGCCTCCAAAGGGCTCCCCCCGGCTCCAGCCTGGTCGGGCATCAAGTTCTGGAATGTCCACAATGCTCACTTGGGACACAGTCCACCACAGCGGGGGTCTCCATGCTTCAGAAGGGTCTCTCAGCCAGCCTAGGGAGGCCATGGGCCGAGGGGGTCTCCGAGGGGGGGTCCGGGCCGGCTCCATCACTCCCGCCGCTCCTCCTCAGCAGCAGCTTCTCGCTGGGGGACCCGTGGCCAGGCTGGGCTGCATGGCTGCCCAGCTGGTGCTCCTTCTGCAGGGCCTTGTCCACGCGCCATCGGTACCAGCGCCGCATCAACTCTGCCTGCACCTGGGGCAGCGTGGGGTCAACCTGTGCTGCATCCGCCCACGACCTCACCATCGTCCCCAGCCTTGTGGGACCCGGAGGGCCCGGGCGGGCGCTCGGCTCCATGCCACTGGGTGATGCCACCCGGTCGTCGTAACCCAGGAACACCGGACCTGCAGACACCTGGGACCCGCCCACTGCGGCTCACCCGTCTCAGGGTCCCCACCCCCATCACAACGGCAACACACGCTCCCTCGATGTGGGTGGCAGTGGGCTCGAGGGCTGTGGGTGTGCTCCAGCTCTGTGAAACCTCCCTGACCCCTACAGCCAGGGCTGCTGGTCCCAGACTCCCCCCTCCCCCCACCTACCTCCTTGTTGAGAAAACAGTAGAGAACAGCCACCAACAGGCCCTGGGGAGAGAGAGGGTCAGGGCAGCGCCCGTTGCGGGAGAGGGCAGTCAGGGCAGTACCTGTCTGGGCGGGGAGGGAGTCAGGGCAATGCCCGTGGAGGGGGGAGAGGGTGGTCAGAGCAGCCCCATCCCTGGGGAGGGGGGAATGGGTGAACAGGGCAGCGCCCGTCCCGGGAGAGGCGGGGAGAGAAGGTCAGGGCAGCGCCCATCAGTGGGGCAGGGAGGGTGGTCGGGGCAGCGCCGTCCCTGGGGGCTGAGGGGCGGGGTGCGTGGCGGCACCTGGAAGGAGCTGAGGAAGAGGTCGAAGAAGAGCTTGATGAAGCGCAGTGTGCCCTGGGCGTGCTCGTCGGTCACGAAGGCAAACACCACCTCATGGACACCCAGCAGGGGGACGAGGGTCAGCGTAGACTTGGCCAGCCTGTGGGGGCAGAGCCTGAGCCTCCCTCGGCCCTGCCCCCAGGCCCCACCTCCTGGTAGCGCCCCTGGGGGTCTCCGGTCTGCGTCACCGCCACGCACCGGAACTTATAGTCCGTGTAGCGCACCTGGTGGGCACGCAGCTTGGCCATGAGGATGTGGATGGTGTGGATGAAGATGAAGAAATTGATCTGTGGGCAGGGAGGGTGCAGCTGGAGGACAGCCCACGACAACCCTAGACGGTTTGGAGCCCGGGCCAGCCCACACCTGTCCCATCAGCAGGTCCCGATGCTGGCAGGTGCCTGTCCAAGGATGACAGCCCACAACCTCCGGGCAGTCTGGCCCGAGGCCCACAGTGCCAGCCAGCGTCCTGGGTAAGTGCCAGGAGCCAGGGTGCAGTCTGCCCTTAGCTTACCACCCGCTCAGGCACCCGGCTGCCCGGCGCCACCCGTGCCCGCGCCCCTCGCTGCAGGGCCGATTGGTCTCATTTCCTCACCAGGATGGCCAGGAAGACGGGGAACCGCGGGATCCACCAGAAGCCCATGTTGTTATTGCTGGTCCAGCACCTGTGGGGGCGGGGCTGACATCCTGCAGCCCCCCCAGGGGGCCGGGGCACACAGTTGGGCCCGCACCCCACCCCAGGGGCCCAGCCCACATTCTGGCAGCACTCCCCCCACCCAGCTGATGTGACCTCAGGAAGGATGGAGATGGTCAGAAGGGCCTCCTCCCTGGGGACCACACCTGCTCACCCCCCACTGGCTCCTACCGAAGCCCCCGTGCCCACTCTCCCACACACACAGAGGACACCGCCCACGTGCGGACACAGAGCGGTTGGGAGAGGTGCGCACCCAACTGCCCCGGCCTCTCGGTCAGCTCCATGCCCTGCTCCCCATGCCCCGCTCGTACTCACTGGATGTTCTCAAACAGACCCTTGACCACGGCCCAGGGGATGACGAAGAGCATCGGGGCACCTGCAGGGCAGGGGGGTGCAGGGGGGAACGACTGAGGTCCCAGGCCCGGCCCTGAGGGCTGCCCGCCCACCCCCGCTGCCCGCCCTGCTCACCCCAGCCGATGCCCAGGTAGAGCGTGAAGAAGCGCCTCTCGGTGAAGGCGGCCTGGCCCAGCAGGCTGTGCAGATAGACGCCCTCCACCAGCAGCCAGCAATAGTTGGCCACGACGCCGTACTGCATGAACACGGCCGCCACGCGACAGCCGGCCACCGCCTGGCCACAGGAGCGGGTCAGCTCGGGCAGCGCGGCCCGCCTCACCCCCTGGGCACCCGGACTCACCCCGTCGCTGAGCCAGATGCTCACGCTGAGGTCGTTGCCGATCTTCTGGCTGTAGCGTGTCTGCAGCAGTGCATCCGTGGCCAGCACGGAGCTGGCCTTGAGCACGAAGGAGGCGAACAGGTTCATGTGAATGTAGTTGCGGGTGCAGTGCAGCTGGCTGCGGGGACAGCGTGGCAGCTCGACACCCTGCCCCGCCGGGTCGCTGCCGCTGAGCCACCACCACGGTTGGGCAGGCGGGCGGGCATACCTGACGCCCAGCAGGATGGCCAGCGCGAGAAGCAGTGCCGCCAGGGACAGGCAGTAGCCCACCGTGTACATCATCTGGAAGCTGCTGTACATCTTAACCATCTCCTTCTGCAGAGGGTGAGTGGGTGGTCAGGGTGGCCCCCTGCCTGCCCCACCGCGCCTGCCCGCCACCCACCTGCTACCCGCCGGGGCTGACCTGGGCCTCCAGCTCCTCCTTGTCCATCTGGCACTGGGAGGCATTGCGCCATGGCTGTCCCTGGGGCCCCCGCACCCACTGCCCATCGGGGCCGCACTTCTTGAAGACAAGGCGGTGCTGCACTGGAGGGCGGGGCAAGGCTCGGGTCAGTGCCCTGTGCCGGCTGCATCCCCAGTCAGCCCTGCCGACTCCGGCCCCCCAGGAGGTACCTTTGTGGTGCCAGGGCAGGTACCAGGGGCAGGAGATGTTGGCCGTGGTGTTGGGAAGCGTGTCCGGCCAGCAGGAGTACTTGTCGAAGGTTCGGTTGCAGACCAGCTCTGCAGGATGGTGTGACGGGGGCAAAGGGGTTCCCTCAGCAGGTTCCCCAGCCCGCACAGCATCCTCCCCCCAGGGCCTCCTCCTGGAAACAACCTGGGCGGCTGCCTCTCACCGGGTCTGGGGCCAGGCCTCCCTGACGCCCACCCCTGC